AAAGATGGGGGAAAGAAACAGTACTTTGACCGGGGAAAAGAGTAGGCTCGAGGAGGAAAAACTCTGTCTCAGAGAATAAAATCACCAGAAGAGAAATCAAATAGGAGAGAGAACACGCAGGGGAAAAGGAAAAATTTTTTTACAAATTGAGTCGGTTGGATATTTATAGGCGAAAAGATGGAAGGGAATTAAATCTCAACCGCCCATTCGGACGAACAAGATCAAAAGCAGGCCGCCTCGAATTCGACGCAAAAAGCACCGATTGAAATCCCCTCATTATCACCTAGGGAACTCGAATCGACCGCATTGATTGATAGGACAGCAGGAGGCGGGAAGCACACATCCCCATCAAAAGTAAAAATTAAAAGCGAGCCATTACTTCGCATCTTATACTCCATAGTTACCAAACGAGATAGGGCAGAGTCTTCTCGTCCGATAATTAAGGAGTAGGGGGGAGTAGTTGATACGGGCCATTCTGGAAAGACCAAATGAGATTAAGCCCACGATGATAAGCCCATGACAACTTAGCCCGGTAGGGCGGAAGAGGTCGTTAGGTCATACGACCTCGGAGACGATATGGGGATACCTTAGCTCGCAGGCCCAGTATCAATACGAGGTAAAACGAGCCCAGGATAATCAGAGGCCCAAAATACGTGACTTGAGGGTAGGGAGAAACCCTAAAAAGGGAAACCTTGGAGGCCAAGGTTTCCTCACCTATAAATAGGGAATGATATTGCATTTTTCCACACATGCTTTACGTACTTTTCGCAAACTTACTCTAAAATTATTATACTGACTTGATCGTCGGAGCTTTCCCGCCGGGAACCCCTCCCGGCGTTGCAGGTCTTTTCACCGGAATCCAGTCCAGAATCTAAGGAGCGCGAGGAGAAGCCCTACGGACTAAATCACAATTATTGATCTTTTTCCCCCTTTTCCCACAGAACCTCAGCTCAACCAATATAATAATTTATTACTCAAGTGTGTGGGTCCCACAAGTGGGTGGTTGGTTACTAATAAATTAAACACTGTTATAACTAAGTAATCTATTTGCAGAAGGATTTAGATGCAGCGGCTCGCGACACGCCGGCTGATCCATCGTCCGTTCTGAAAGACAGGTCGGGGTGTAGCTTACTTACACCTGAAAAGGAAGGCCGGATCCCTTTCATCTCAAGTAGCCCCTCTTTTGAGTTCCAAGATGGCGAGGCTGCTTCGAGAAGGCCAGTCACGGCCCCTGCTCAAACTCCCAATGAGCGTACGTATACCCGAGACGAGGTAGAAGCTATGATCACCGCAGCCATCCGAAACTACACGCAAAATTTACCTCAAGATAACCGACCCAAGAGAGATCTCAGACGCTCCCAGAACGAAGGGCGAGCTGAGGACGAATGCGATAGCTATTCATAGAATCGAGAAGGCAATAGTCATGGCGTCAGAACGGAAGTTGACAGCTTAAGGCGCGATATAGATGAGTTGAAGGCCCTGCGAAGTGGGCCGACGCGAGATCTCGCGGGATCTAGCCCTTTCGCCAGGCATCTCGATAGCGACCCTATACCAGCTAATTACCGACCGATCCTGTTCGAGTATAACGGCACGACAGATCCAGCTGAGCACCTGAGTCGGTTCAACAACACCGCGTCACTCCACCAGCTCACAGAGGGAGTGAAGTGCCGCGCCTTTGTCACCACTTTAGCGGGACCGGCTCAGGCATGGTTCGGTTTGCTGCCTCCCAGAACCATACGATCTTTTGAACAACTTGCCAAAGCTTTCATGAATCAATTTGCTAGCTCGAAGAAGTGCAAGAAGACCTCTCTGTCGTTATTCAGCATTCGTCAGAAGGAGAAGGAAAGCCTCAGAAACTAAGCGATTTACTTCGGCCACCTTAGAGGTCCCCACCACCAGTGATGAGGTGCTCATGGCAGCCCTCTCACAAGGACTAAGAGATGATGAGTTTTTCCGAGCTTTAGCGCTGGAACCTTCGCCTGATTTTGATAATCTCCTAGAGAGGGCATCTAGGTTCATTAACTTAGAAGAAGCCCGCCAGCAGAAAGTGGAAGAGTCTCACCAAGCCGCGAACGCACGAGTTAACGAAGTAAAGAGAGGTAAGGAGCCCGTGTTACCTCGAAGAGATGCCAATACCCCCAGTCGGGGTACTGCCCCGGATGCTAAGGGATCTCGATACCAATCCTATCAGCCCCTTACAGCCCCTTTGTCCCATGTGTTGTGCGCAATTGAGAAAAGAGCTGATCTGCGATGGCCTCGGACCGCTCACGAAGCCCCCCGCCGAGATCCGGCACTGGGTACCTTTTGTCGTTTTCATAACGAATACGGGCATACGACCGATGATTGCGCACATCTGAAAGACGAAGTGGAACGTCTCATCAGAGACAACAAGATTGGAGATTTTGTGAAGATAGATCCACCTCGGGGACAAAAGCGTGAAGCTCAGTTTGGAAATCCAGCACGAGTACCGCCCCCACCGCCAATGCCGAAAAGAGGATACATCCAGATGATCTCAGGGGGCCCTACGGGAGGAGATACCCACCGGGCCAGGAGACGCCATCTCGGTAGTCTTAAGAACAATCATGAAGTTTGCCAAATCTCCACACCGAAGTGTCGTCAATACCCCACTATATCATTTGGTCCTGAAGATGAAGTGGATCTGGATGATTTCCATTGCGACCCTCTCCTCATCACGATTAACGTTGGAGGGTATGACGTCGCTCGCGCCTTCGTCGATCCAGGAAGTTCAGTGGATGTCATATCCTACGAGTGCTTCCTGCAAATGGAGCTCGACCTCCCAGTCTTCCCCGTCACCACCCCGATATTCGGGTTCACGCGGGGATCCTTGACGCCGATTGGACAAGTTAAAAATGGACACACTCCGCATCACCACGTTCGATGAAAAAACAAACGATGATGCTTTGAGATCACAGCTGGATGAAGTTTTCGATCTACGAGAAGCGGCGTATTTACACATGGAACGAAGTAAAATTTTGATCAAAGCTCGGTATGATCAGGGGGTACGGTCCCGTTCATTCCAGATTGGGGATCTCGTCTTACGACGGGCTGACGCACTAAAACACACAGGAAAGTTAGAGGCCAATTGGGAAGGACCGTACATGGTCACAAAATGTTTGGCCGGTGGGGGATACGAATTGGCTGACGCAGAAGGAAAGCCATTGCCGCGAGCTTGGAACATAATACATCTAAAGCGCTTCTTCGCGTGAAAAAAAAAAAAAAAAAAAAAAGAGATATAGAGGCAGTCAGTCAGATAAATCGAGAAGCGGCACACCTTGTACATACAAAAAACCATCAATAAACATTCATTTTCCGAGCTGGGCTAGGCCCCGTGGTTTTTTCTCTCCTCATTGGGAGGGTTTCCACGTTAAAAAATCCTTGTGTTATTTATTTAAGTTACAACTGTGGCGTTAAATCGCGTGTTTTATTGTGGCGTTAACTCGCGTGCTTCATTGGTGGCGTTAAATCGCGTGTTTCACTGTGGGCGTTAAATCGCGTGTTTTATTGTGGCGTTAACTCGCGTGCTTCATTGTGGCGTTAAATCGCGTGTTTCACTGTGGCGTTAAATCGCGTGTTTTATTGTGGCGTTAAATCGCGTGCTTCATTGTGGCGTTAAATCGCGTGTTTTATTGTGGCGTTAAATCGCGTGTTTCACTGTGGCGTTAAATCGCGTGTTTTATTGTGGCGTTAACTCGCGTGCTTCATTGTGGCGTTAAATCGCGTGTTTCACTGTGGCGTTAAATCGCGTGTTTTATTGTGGCGTTAAATCGCGTGCTTCATTGTGGCGTTAAATCGCGTGTTTTATTGTGGCGTTAAATCGCGTGTTTCACTGTGGCGTTAAATCGCGTGTTTTATTGTGGCGTTAAATCGCGTGTTTTATTGTGGCGTTAAATCGCGTGTTTCACTGTGGCGTTAAATCGCGTGTTTTATTGTGGCGTTAAATCGCGTGTTTTATTGTGGCGTTAAATCGCGTGTTTCACTGTGGCGTTAATCGCGTGTTTTATTGTGGCGT